ACACCCAAAAACAGCTCGCAGAGGGCTATGAAGCCCGCGATATGCAATACGGAGGCAGGCGTAAGATTGTGTAGCTGGAGGCCATAGAACTCCAGGAGCCCCCAGAGAAACGGATGGATTGGAAATCCGAGCCCTCTTATTAAATAAGGGACAAGGCATGCCCACTCTCCTTTGGAGGGATTAGGGGCACTCTTCGCTTGCTCTCTGCCATTATAGATGGCAAGACCGGCTCGAACCGGGACCATATAGGCCGGGGGGAGAAATCCTTGGTCTGGAGCGTCACTAGCTCGCTATGCGGGATGGAGCATCTCTCCCAATATCCAGGCTGAGGGCTGGAAAGGCGAAAGGAGGAGTTGCGATGGCTGGCCATGGTGGAATGGACCTTTGCCGGATGCGCTCTGATGAACACTCGCGAAGGGGAGAAGGTGTGGTTTGGATCTAAATCATCGTCTCCTTAAATGGGCGGCTCATTTACGCGGATAGGGGTGTGGATGTAAAAACACTCAGACTTTTCATATTCGTTTGACACGTGGGAGACGGCCATTATTGGGCGTAGAAGCCAAGGAGCGCAACATTTAAAAGAAACCGGACTTTATTCAACAGGTACACGGAATTTGGAGGAGAACCCGCCTTGCAATGCCGAAGACAATCTGCGCGCCGGACTCATTGTCATTGAAACCTGGTTTGGGGGCTACTGAGGGAGTCCTGGATTAGGGGGTGTTCGGATAGCCGGACTATACCTTCAGCCGGACTATACCTTCAGCCGGACTCCTGGACTATGAAGATACAAGATTGAAGACTTCATCCCGTGTCCGGAAGGGACTTTCCTTGGCGTGGAAGGCAAGCTTGGCGATACGGATATGTAGATCTCCTACCATTGTAACCGACTCTATGTAACCCTAACCCTCTCCGGTGTCTATATAAACCGGAGGGTTTTAGTCCGTAGGGGACAACAATCATACCATAGGCTAGCTTCTAGGGTTTAGCCTCTCTGATCTCGTGGTAGATCTACTCTTGTACTACCCATATCATCAATATTAATGAAGCAGGACGTAGGGTTTTACCTCCATCAAGAGGGCCCGAACCTGGGTAAAACTTCGTGTCCCTTGCCTCCTGTTACCATCCGGCCTAGACGCACAGTTCGGGGCCCCTACCCGAGATCTGCTGGGTTTGACACCGACAATGACCGAATAGCTACACTACACGGTTAACATCATAAGTGCTGATGAGGTCTCACTCTCGGCACTCGATAGTAACCCAGTAGTGTCGAGCAACTAAGGGGAAAGTGATGTGCGGTGCCGGGGCCTAGTCTTCGATCCTGTTTATCGAGTCTTCGATGATGAAACAGGGGCAACAAGGACAAGGTGGGGATCACTCATGGATCACTAACCAACCTATACTAAGCAGTTTAGGATAAGCAGGTAAGGTACAATGAGCAGGTTACAAAAACAGGCTATGCATCAAAATAGGAGCAAACAATAACAGTAGCAAAATCTAATGCAAGCATGAGAGAATAGAATGGGCGATATCGGGATGATCAAAGAGGGGGTTGCCTGGAAGCTCCGCTGAAAGGGAAGAAGGGTCGTCGACGACATAGTCGATCACAGCAGCATCAACAACGGTCTCGGGGTCTACCAGAGAGAAGAGGGGAAAGAAACAATAAATACAGAGCAAACAAGTGCAATACTATGCATGACAAGACAAAAAGCATCATTAGGCGTGTTCTAACGCGATGCTACACGATACCGGCGAAGGGGATAACATCCGGGAAAGTTTTCCCGAAGTTTGGCATTTTCGGACAAACGAACCGGAGGGGGACGGTTGCAGGTTCGCTATGCTAGGGACGTGTGGTAGACGAACGGACCGTGTAACCGGATTTGTCTCGAAATTCTGAGCAACTTTCATGTAGAAAACATTTTCATCCGAGTTACGATTATTTTTCTATGTTTTTTCAAAGTTTTAATGATATTCTGAAATTAACAGATTTAATCTAATTTCGAAAAATAAAATTAAAAGGCTAGGTGCACCAGGTCCAGTGAACCCCACAGTGTACAGGAGGCTGACAGTGGGGCCAGTCAGCAGTTGACTGGTCCATGGCTGACTGGTCAAAAGGCTTAGTGGGACCCAGGTGTCAAAGACACACACTATTTTAGCAGATTATTATTTAAACAACTGGATTAATTTAACCAAGGGTCCCACATGTAATTGACTCATAATTTTAGACAAGGGTTATTTAACCCATGGGGCCCATCTGTCATTTGCTAATAGCCTAAATTAGCACTAAACTAATACAGTACTAAGCTACACTTAACCTAATTAAATAAGGACCGGCCATCACTGGACATAGTCCAGCCAGCCACGCACACAGCCATATACAGGGGCCTTGGCGGCCATGGCTAGGTGCGGTAGTAGAAGAAGCAAGTGAGCAGCAGCACCTAGTAGCAATCCGCGGCAAAAACAAGCAGCAGCAGCAACGCCGCAGGCGAGCAGCGTGACAGTAGCGCAGCAGCTGCGCGCGGGGCACGGCCCGGGCGCGCGTGGCGACGCAGCACGCGTCGTCGGGCGCGACCGGGGAGGCTAGGAGTTCGCGACAAGCGCGGCCAAGCGAGGCAAGGGAGCGGCAGCGGGCGGCGAGCGGGGCAGCGGAGCAGAAATAGGCAGCAGCAGCGTAGTAGAGCAGAGGCAGCAAGCAGAGCAGCGCAAGGAGCAGCAGGCGCTCGTACGTGGACACTGAGGTTCGGCCATGGCGGACTACGGCTCATACAGGCGACTACGACAATGGAATCGAAGGGGGAACAAGGGGAATCGGGGAAGGGCCTCACAGCGGTTCTCGACGACGTGCTCGGGAGGCCGGTGAAGCGTCGAGGGAGGAGATCCGGGGCGGGGAAGCGACGACCGGACGCGGGGAAGACGACCCATGGCGAGCGCTCGGGGCCTCTTGGCTCGAGCCCTTCGGCGTGGTGATGGAGCCGGCCACGACGGAGCTCCCGAACGCCTTCTCGTGGCTTGGGGTGGCTGGTGGCCGCGTTAGTCGGCGACGGCAGCGCTCGGCTCAAGAGTGAGATGCGAGGGAGAGGGCGAGGGGGAAAGTGTCCTAGGGTTTCCAGCGAGAGGGAGGCGGGGCCCTTGTATGCAAGGGGGGAGGCTGTGGATGGCCTCCACGCAAGGCACGGCGCGGCCATGGCCTGCCGATGGGTGCCACGACCCCCCTGCCTCCCTGTAGCAGCAGAAGGTTGGGGATGGCAGGGGTGGGCTGGACCTGTTTTGCTAAAAGGGCCAAGGGTCCAGTAGGTTTAGGCCCCCTTCTTATTTTCCATTTTGTGTTCTTTTCTTAGCTTTGCTTTTTGTTTTCTTTTAATTTTCAACAGCATTTTAGGTTTATAAATATGAGACTTACACAAATATTATCATTCCAAATTAGGTCACTGCCACAAGAAGATTGGCAGTTAAATAAAATATATTAGCATTTTTATAAATCAAAAAGGCATTTAATTTATTGTTTGGCCACTGTTTATTTATTTAAGGGCACTAAACCATTTCATGAAAAGTTGGTTTCTCCACCAGTATTTCCTATGGATTATTTGACACATTTAGAACAATTTAGTTTTGGCATTTTGAAAACTTTAAAAGTTTGACTTGATTTTAAATTTGAATTAGAACGGGTTTTGAAACAACGTGAGTTTATCAACAGTAATCGTGGTGACGTGACAACATTAATGGAGGGTTACTGTAGCGTAGTTATCCGGGCGTCACAGCCGTCCAAGGGCCGTAGTAGACCTAGCCGCCCACCCTCGACGGCCGACATGAGCATCGTCAAGGCTTCGACCAGCCGTCGGTCGGTTTCTCCCACTTCGCGCACAACGTGTTCGACGAAATTCCCTCAAGGTAAAAATTTGCACAAACTTGGATTTTTTTTATGGGACGTGAAGATGTAGTTTGACGGTGATTCCTCTATTGTAGATGAGCTCGTGGGACTCTTCTTTTGTGGATGATTTCTCATTGGATGAGGACATTGATATGCTAGTAGCGATTCCTAGAAGGAAGAAGCCGAAGCACGGCGGTTCCGTATTTGGCCATGAGTACATCCGAAGAGACGGGTTGAGGCGCACGATAGATTGATGCGTAACTTTTTTGGTACTCCGACCCATTTTTTCAAAGAGGTACTTTCGTCGATGATTTAAGATGTCCAAGAATTTGTTTATTTACATTTACAATTCCGTGAGGCAGAGCCTTCGGGCAGAGGAGGAGCTGCGGTCGTGCGGCCGATGGCCCTTTTTACATCACCTGTTGGAGCGACGGGCGCACGGCTGATGTAAATCATCCGTTGAAGTTAGGTGTTTTTGTTGTAAAATTCGCTTTTTTGGTGATGTAAATTTGCATCTAGCAGTTTTTACATCATCTGCTCTAATAAACACAGCACCACCAGCTCAGCTGATTCGGACCTAGTCAGCCCCACATGTCACTCCCACAGACCTCCACCATCTGCCGTTGCAGCCGGGCCACCTCGAATGCCAGCCCCACAGGTCATGGACTTTACACCACCAACAAAACCGGTGACGCTTTCCAGATGAGAAATCTTCCGGAAATAATTCTCTCTTCCTTGCTTGCTCCGGCGTCTTATCTCTTCCCTCCCCCACCCCCGCGCGCAGCCTGGTGCGATCTTCCTCTCCCAGCCATCCAATCCCCAAATCCGCCTAATCCAATCTTATCACCAAATCATTCGCCACTACTAGCATGCTGCCAGCGCGCGGCGACGCAGTAATCGCCGTCGCTGCACGCGGGAGCGATCTTGTTGCTCCGGCCATATAAATATCCTGACTTCCTGGTCGCTGTCTCCCGGGGATTTGCTTCCGGTCCAGCCTGATTGCGGGGCGAGAGATTGGAGAAGCTGTTTGGTTGTGTGGAAGGATTTGGAGGAGTTTGGGAGGGTCTCCGAGGCGGGATACGTACGGTGCCGGGAGTCCGTGGAGGAAGGAAGGTGATTGCCTTCGGTGGCCGTCATGGCGCCAACGACGCACTTCACGCCGTCGCAGGCGCACGCGGCGGCCGCCTCCCACCACCCTGCCGCGGCGGCGGCGGCGGCCCCCGCCACGGCCACGGCCCGGCTGCATGCGTCGGCGTCCGCGTCGGCTCCTGCCGCGGCGGCGGCGCTTTGCCCGCCCTTCCTCGCGGCGGGGTCCCACTCCGTGGCCTGCCCGCCCGTCCAGAACCCGATATTTAGTGGCCCGGCCGCGCCATGGGCGGTGCAGCCCCAGCGCGCCGCTGTAGGGGCGCTTGGCCCTGAGTTCAGGCGGGCGCGCTCCACGAAGAACATCTCCAAGCGCAACAACCGTGGGGCGGGTGGCCAGGACCGCGGCGGGCGCACGTCCTCAGCTGCTGCTGGGCGCTGTGTTGACAAGCTGCTCCGTGTTGCCCCTGATGACCGGCGCGCGCTCGGCGCATCGCTTTCCTCTTTCCGGGGAGAGCTGCTTGGTCCTGATGATTACTGCCATGTCCTTCGGGAGCTCGGCGACAGGGACAAATCTGCAGTCCGTGCGCTTGAGGTGTTCCACGCTGCATTGCCCCTTGTTGGCAATGGCTCCGTCGATAAAGGCAAGCTTTTGACTGCCGCAATCGGTGCACTCGGCAAGATGGGGCGACCAGACCTTGCAAGAAGAGGTTTTGATGCTGGCATTGCAGGGGGTTATGGCAAAACGGTGTTTGCATACTCAGCGCTCATATCAGCATATGCGAGGAGTGGTCTTGCGACCGAGGCCATGGGGGTGCTTGAGTCGATGAAGGGTGCAGGCTTGCGGCCTACCACAGTTACGTACAATGCGGTGATTGATGCATGTGGGAAAGGGGGTGTTGACCTCAGGTTCACGCTCGGATATTTTCGTCAGATGCTACGGGATGGGCTCTGTCCCGACCGGAAGACTTTCAATTCACTTCTTTCTGCGTGCAGCCGCGCAGGGCACTTGGTGGATGCCCGTGCTGTCTTTGATGAAATGACCCATCTTGGCATTGGGCGTGACATTTACACATACAACACATTTATCGATGCAATTTGCAAGTGTGGCAACATAGAGCTTGCTATGCAGGTTCTGCTGGATATGGAAGCGAAAAAGCTGAAGCCAAATGTTGTTACATACAGTACACTGATCGATGGATACTCCAAGCTGGAGAAGTATGAGGAGGCACTCAAGTTGTACGAAAAGATGAAGTCTTTGGGAATTCGATTGGACCGAGTTTGCTACAACACAGTGCTGGCTATTTATGTGAAGACCGGGAAGTATGCCGAAATTGCCATTGTGTGTGACGAGATGGAGGACTCTGGGATTGAGAAGGATACTGTCACTTACAATTCTTTGATTAATGGATATGGAAAGCAGGGACGCTTGGACATCGTCTCTTTCCTCGTCCAAGATATGAGGAGACGCGGGGTAGCTCCTAGTGTACTCACATACTCAACTTTGATAGATATCTATTCAAAAGCGGGAATGCACGGAGATGCATTTAATGTCTATTTAGATTTTAAGGAATCTGGCCTAAAGGCCGACGTTGTTCTGTTCAGCTCTTTCATTGACACATTGGCCAAGAATGGATTGGTAGAGTGGGCATTATCTTTGCTAAATGATATGACTGAGATGGGTATCAAACCAAATGTGGTTACATATAACACAATAATTGATGCATTTGGCAAGTCTAAGGTACACGGTGAGGAGGATCCTGAAGTTGGGGACATGGGCATTGTTGGGGTTTATAATGGCCAGATCATAAGGGCTGCTAATCCAGTGACAAGAGGACGCTCTGCCATTGATGTCCGGATGAGGAGGTCTCAGGAATTGTATTTCATTCTGGAATTGTTTCAGAAGATGGTCCAACAGGGTGTAAGGCCAAATGTTGTTACATTTTCTGCGATCCTGAATGCTTGCAGGTACATCTTGATTTCTTTAACTTAAGCCTTTTAATGCCAAATCTCTCTAATTCTTACTCCCTCTGTCCCATAATATAAGAGCGTTTTTTACACTACACTAGTGTCAAAAACGTTCTTATATTATGGGACAGAGGGAGTAGTATTCTACCACTGGATGCTTATCTAGCCATTTTGTTATTAATTGTGTTGTACTAGTTGAAAGTTAAAAAATTAGTGCTATATTATACTGGAAATTGTTCTCAGTATTCTGCCACTAGATGCTGTCTGGCCATTTAGTTCTAAACTTGTCATACCAGTTGAAAATTTCAAAATTTGTGCTGAATTGTACTGGAAGCTAATTACCTTTTTCCTGTCAGTTTAATTTTTCTAAGTCCAATATGGATGTATGCTTGCACTGGTTAAATTTTAGCCTTCAGAATACATGATCTGCGTATGGAAAATACTATTTATTTTACATCCTCTCATTTTTTGCTGGTTCTAGAAAAGAGTGTAAGCCGAAGATATCCTTATGTCTCCATATTTATTTTGGCCAAAACAGAAGTGTAATACATATGAGGGTTGAGTTAGGAAATCATGTTATTAGTACATAAATCTGAATTAGCAGAGTCACATTGCGCTCCTCTCCAACCTGCAAATCTGGTATACATAACTAACTCTACGCTTTAATTTGGTTCTTGCAGTCGCTGTAATAACTTTGAAGATGCAGCCCTATTACTGGAACAACTTCGCTTGTTTGATAACTTTGTCTATGGTGTTGCGTATGGGCTCCTTATGGGTTACCAAGAAATTTGGTCGCAAGCACAGTCCCTTTTTAATCAGCTGGGACGCATGGATTCTCCAACATCGTCTGCCTTTTATAATGCTCTTACTGATATGCTGTGGCATTTTGGCCAGGTAGGATCTGCTCAAAGTGTACATCTTTGATTTAAGTATTGTGTTGATTCGCAAAAACAGAGATTTTGTGATGTTAAAAAGGTTAAATCCTTGAGTAATCCTTAACAATTTATCGATGCTTAGGGGTAATTTTTATTCTCAACTGACTGGTTATATTTGAATAGATGAAATAGTATCATAGTAATACTTGTTCTTTTATATTAACTTTTAAGTGACTTGTGATAGTTTGTAATCTTTAATATTCCCTTGGTGTAGTGGATTTTGTCATTATCCTTAACCTTAGTATACATGGAATTTGATCTTATCTCTTGAATGAAGATACTCATGATATGTGATAGCCATTCTAATATTTCAATTAAACATTTTTTACGTAGTCTATTGGCATTTTTGGTTAGTTTGGAAGTTGTTTTGAGATTTGTAGTAGTTAAACTGTCCTGAATTTGGTATTTACTGGACAGCTTGATATTTAATTGTACTAAACCATCTTCATATGTAGAGTAGCAAGCGTTGCATGCTATGTAAAATGTTCCCTGTTAAACTGCATACACAGGGCTAATCCATTTGATGAATTGAATGACAAATGTGTGTTCCTTCTTATTTTCAGAGGCAAGGAGCTCAGTTAATTGTGCTCGAAGGGGTAAATCGCCGTGTGTGGGAGAACACATGGAGTGAGTTTTGCTTGGACCTGCACCTTATGTCATGTGGTGCAGCTCAAGCAATGGTCCATGCATGGCTCCTGAATGTGCGCTCTATTGTCTTCGAAGGACGAGCTATGCCTGAGTTTCTAAGGTACTCGATGCTACAACTTATTTTGCTTGTGTTTGTTACATTTACGGTAGTTTTGTGTCTGTGCAAATGCAAAGGCTGTTAACTTTTCCTCCCATCTGTATCTGTATAACTGAAACCATGCTCTGTATATCTGTACAGCATTCTGACAGGGTGGGGAAAGCATAGCAAGATTGCGGGCGCAAGCACTCTTCGCCACGTCATCGAAGCACTTCTCAACTCAATCGGAGCACCGTTTCAGGTTGAGCGATTCAACATTGGAAGGTTTGTGTCGCCCAGCGTCGTGGTGGCTGCCTGGTTGAGAGAATCCGGCACCATCAACATGATACTCCTCAGTGACGAGCGTGCGCAGCGTGCAAGCCCATCCAATCTGGTGCCGAGGTTGGAGGCGCTGCAGTTGTAGCCCGTAGAGCACGGCATACCCCTGTAGCAGCGTTGTCTGTAAGCTCCCCCGCCTCTCCTTAGTTTGTCTTCTGCGTTTCAGAAGACTGTGTAGTGTACTATAGGCTCGCCGAATAGGAGCTTGTTTTGTTGTTGAATCCTGTTGTTAATTGGCAGTGTGCCTTTCAAGTTCCAACTCCTTTCATCAGGGGTGGAGAAAAAAAGTTTAATGAGAATCCACCCGATTGGCTCCCCTGTCCCCGATGGATTGTCGCTTCGTCGACAGCAAGGACCGGGAATCACTGCTCTCAGAGGGTCATCTGCAGCAGGTTAAGATGCCTTGAGTTCTTGTTTTGGTACTCGTCCAGTGAAGGCAGATACCTGGAGCTCTTTTGCTCTTGTTTCGGCAAGTGCCATGGATGGATGACGCTGACACCTCCACTGGCTGGTTCCCCCTTTGGCTCGTGATGCTGCTTTACAAGATACAAGATGCCATCAGCTTTGTTGAAGATGCAAATGGCATCTCCCCGTCCATGAATGATGAGCAAGCAGCCTCTGGCTATGTGGGCAGCTCAAGTGGTTGGCTGACGAGGCGCCATGGAAAGGGCGAGCAAAAAGGCGTGGAGGAGATGAGCGCAATGTGTAGTCTGCTGATTCATTCATTCATTCACTTGCCATGGTTCCTTTCTGAACAATTGGACCTGGAGTGGGGCATTGTCAACCATTCGAAATGGTCAAAAAATTGGCTGGAAACTGTATATCACCGACACGCGACCCATTTTTTTTACTTTTGTTTTCATTTTACATTTAATGGTTGGTTCGCTTTTCGCTATCATCGGTATTTGACTTCTTCCTCCTCGCATACCCCCTTGCATATCTGCCCTGTTTCTCCTAATTTAGATACTTTTGAGTCGTTGAAGCGACATCTTACACGAGGGCGGAGTCAAAGGAAGAGAGGCGAGAGCGACATTCATACCAAGGAAAAAGGAAGAACCGATGGTTCTGGTTTTGGTCACGGGATCGGTAAATGATCGGTTAGCATTGTAAGATTGATTTTCTCTTTGTGGGAAGAAATCAATGGTCCGTCGTTTTCTCTCTTTTTTCTCGGAAAAGAAATGGCCGAGAAGTTTGAAGATTAAATAAATTCAGGCCTCCTTTGGTTTAGAGGAATTTCATAAAAATTCTGGAGGATAGGATTTTTTCCTTTAGAGCCCTTTGGTTCATAGGAATGGATTCCTATTCCTACATAGGATTGGTTCCTATCCTCCACATTTCATAGGAAAATAAAAAAGAGTCTAGACTCAATGGAAAAATTCTTTTGGTGTCAACCAAATAACACCTATTGATAAAAAACCGGACCTCGTTGGCGAGTTCCGGTCTGTTGTTGCGGCCCGACCTTTCACGACACTCCACCTTCAGCACTAGTAGCCTCTCGCCCGCGCACGCGATGTACACGAAGTAGAGGGTTTGAACCTTGCGGTCCAGCACGAGAAAACCAATCTTGACGAAGGTACTCACGCGCAAAACAATTTCCACGAAGAGAAATCGCAACACAGAGGTTTTCTAAAGGTCCCTCCAAAACTTGATACGGGTGTCTACCCTGAAAAATACATCGTGTCTATTTCATAAAAATATAACCTAAAATATTACAAAGGACTATATTGGCTTATATATTAGCCGACCATCTAACTTGGCTTGGAAAGCAAGCTGACCTTCTATCTCTCGTCACGCTCAAAAAGTTACATCTCGGCAGTTTTATTCCTTGTGGTAACTCTATTAAACCTCTATGGCTATACTAATCTTTTATTATTTATTTCCTGGCGTACGTGTCTCCCGCTGGTGGCCCCCAGCCGGAATCCTTGAGACTTAACGTCTTAAACATGTTGGAAATCGTAGGATTGCTAGTTTTCCTGCAAGGCAAGAAGATGAATAAAAATTCTATCTGTATTCTCTTCTTGTTTAATTTGTGCGCCTGCTTCACGTTGTGAGAAAACTCCTCCCGATCTGTATCATGCACGTACACAACTTCTCTTCTAATCAATTTCTTGTCGGGCCCACTTGCATGCATGCGAACTAGTACTTGATTTCCTGATGCATGTAGACATGGAAACATTGCACCGTACATTGGTCTAAACTCAAGCAAACTCATATCTTGTACATCCATGGTATGGTTACACATGATTCCTACTAATCCATCTTCATCTTGAAAAACGTCTGTAGCATATTCAGTACTAGATGAATATGTTGTTGTATCAACAGTGATCATCGCACTTAAATTACACGCGGCCATATCATCCTCTCCTCCTTGAAACGAAACCGTCCTCGGTTTCGAGTTGATGTCTTCAATAATATTTGTATTTGCAGGCTGAACGACGATAGAAAAAAATTCAGCAGCTTTGACCTTCTTCTTCTCTTCTTCTTTCTGCTCTTTTATGTTCTCAAGATGTTCTTTCCTCCAGGCAATAAAACGATCCTGACCCATGGGCACGAGGTCGTACTTCTTACCCTTCTTGACGGTATATATGTGCGTTTGACAATCATACACAACATCATGCTCTTTGTACCATGGCTTGCCCAACAATAAGTGACATGAAACCATCGGTGCCGGAATCACATCACACAAAACCGTGCAAAAATATTTTCCTAGCAAAAAGGGTACCTTTGTTTGATGTGTGACACTGAGCTCTTCATGACCCCAACGAAACAAGTATGGTTTTGCTCGTGGTGTCATTGGTAGATCTAGCTTCTCCACCATCTTGATGCTTGCAGCGTTGATCAAACTCATGTGGTCAATTGTCATGGCACATGATCTCTCCTGTACCACGACACGAGTATGAAAAAGCCCATCCCATCGACCTTCCTCCTCCAACTGAAATCCGTAGCTTAACTTACTGAATAACGATGCGCTCGCCATCTTCTCCATAGTGTCGTGAACAACCTGATGCTCTGAATACCACCTGATAAAAAACCGGACCTCGTTGGCGAGTTCCGGTCTGTTGTTGCGGCCCGACCTTTCACGACACTCCACCTTCAGCACTAGTAGCCTCTCGCCCGCGCACGCGATGTACACGAAGTAGAGGGTTTGAACCTTGCGGTCCAGCACGAGAAAACCAATCTTGACGAAGGTACTCACGCGCAAAACAATTTCCACGAAGAGAAATCGCAACACAGAGGTTTTCTAAAGGTCCCTCCAAAACTTGATACGGGTGTCTACCCTGAAAAATACATCGTGTCTATTTCATAAAAATATAACCTAAAATATTACAAAGGACTATATTGGCTTATATATTAGCCGACCATCTAACTTGGCTTGGAAAGCAAGCTGACCTTCTATCTCTCGTCACGCTCAAAAAGTTACATCTCGGCAGTTTTATTCCTTGTGGTAACTCTATTAAACCTCTATGGCTATACTAATCTTTTATTATTTATTTCCTGGCGTACGTGTCTCCCGCTGGTGGCCCCCAGCCGGAATCCTTGAGACTTAACGTCTTAAACATGTTGGAAATCGTAGGATTGCTAGTTTTCCTGCAAGGCAAGAAGATGAATAAAAATTCTATCTGTATTCTCTTCTTGTTTAATTTGTGCGCCTGCTTCACGTTGTGAGAAAACTCCTCCCGATCTGTATCATGCACGTACACAACTTCTCTTCTAATCAATTTCTTGTCGGGCCCACTTGCATGCATGCGAACTAGTACTTGATTTCCTGATGCATGTAGACATGGAAACATTGCACCGTACATTGGTCTAAACTCAAGCAAACTCATATCTTGTACATCCATGGTATGGTTACACATGATTCCTACTAATCCATCTTCATCTTGAAAAACGTCTGTACTAGATGAATACGTTGTTGTATCAACAGTGATCATCGCACTTAAATTACACGCGGCCATATCACCTATACATGTCATCTCATTTCCTACAAGATTCCTGTTCCTATGATAATTCTATTCTATGAACCAAAAGAGGCCTAGAGGTGTGGCTGCAAGTTGCAAAAGCCAGCAAAGAAAAAGGGAGGAAGGATTGCGTGTGGGAGCACAGCACCAGCACCAGCAAAATAGATGGGTTGCTTCAGGCCCATGCAAAGCTAATGATTATCCAGCAATTTGGGAGGGGATATGCTCTGCTCCCCAAGCGAGCGAAGGGAGGCCATGGCAAACAAACTTGAATGACAGCTGAAAGAGATTGGTCCAACAGCAGATTCGCCACTATTTCTGGACAATTTCTACTTGTAACTGTTACTACTAGTACTAGTACTGTTTCTGGTTTATTATCTGGATTCTGGATGGAGAAAAGTGCACAGGAACTTTTGGGTGTACCTGTAGACGATGGTTGACTATTTTGTTCTAGTAAATACATGTATATAGTATGTATGTTGCAACATATGCAGTAAAATTGTCACCATCGCAGCTAACAATTATAGACTTTAATAGGAGGACAAAAAAAAAGCACTGACCGTGATGAAGCCCTCATCATATACCTCACTTATGCTGTAAACGGAAATAACGGTAAGGAATTACTAATGGTAATATGTTCGCAAAGACTCCTTAGGTCTATTCATGAAATGTAAAATATATGAATTATATCTCAAAAGAGAAAAAATCCGATATAAGACAAGCCACAAGTTAATCAACTTATCTTGTTTCCAAAATTTTGAAATATACAAATAGTTGACTTTAATTTTTTTATAGCTGTTATGCATCCAATAATATAATTATGTGTGCATATCCTGCAGTGTTTTTAGTATTGATAGACCATTTTTTTAAAGGTTAGACTAAACCTCGACTTGCTTTGAAAAAGAGAAGAACACTTGCAGGTGACAAGAGAAGAGAAATTTGTATACCAATGTAGATTTTGGTGCTTATAGAAAAAGATCGACAGGTACACACAAACATTGACCTTGTTAGCAAAGCAACCACAAAAAAGGGGAGCACCCTTGTTATCCTATAACACTACGTTCACTAGTTTTAAAGAGCCCACATTCAATTGAGCTCTCCAATTGAAATAGGGTCACCCGATTTT